ATAAGTGCTTGCCTGGCAAGTGCAAGGGCCTGAGTTTGATCCCCGGCTCCACAAAAAAAAAAAAAAAAAAGAAAAATCAAAATACTCAACATTTGTCTACTATCCATTATGAAATTATAAACCTGATATAACTAGCAAACTAGTTTTTAACTTTCCTATTTAATTCAGAAACGATTGTGCTTTGGACTATAATATGTAGTATAATACTGTTGTAGGCAGCTAAATTAGAAATATTATAGGCAGTCAGACAGGGCTACCCTCATGGAGACAGCACTGAAGACAAGATACGCTGCAACTGTAAGAGGGCCGGATGGAAGCTCCTGCTGTGGGCCAGAACTAAAGATCAAAGATCAAACAAATGCTGACCTCCCTAAAGATAAGCATCTGGGACTGATCCTCACCTTGAGGAAGCCGGGAAGAGTCACCAATCCAACTGCTACCAGATGGATACTGGATAAACTCCTGTTCTATACTCATGCCTGCTTGCTACGTGACTTGCTTCCCCATTTGGTCCTGGACTTAATCAATTTTACCTGAGCACTGGTGCTTGCAATCTCATTGGTTGACCATAGTTTTGTACCACCTTATGCCCACCCAAGCAAGTCCCCAAGTTCTCCACCTTAGATCCACATGGTTTTACTCTAGAAAAGTCCCTGGAAGAGACAGCTTCCTGAGGACAACCCACTTGGGTCCCCCTTCTGTCCCTCTCTTGGACAGGTTTTCTTTCCCAAATAAATACATTCTACTCTTAACCTCCGTTTGTTCCTAAAATTCATTCTTCAGTTTTAGAAAACATGAATCTGTCCCAGGTACCTTTCAGGTCAGGAGCTTCATTTTTTCCCTGTATCAATATTATCGTAATATACATAAAATACTTATATTTTACAATATTACAACCACTTCTATAATCAAAAAAAAATTTTTTTTTTTTTGGTGGAACCAGGGATTGAACTCAGGCCCTTGCGCTTGCCAGGCAAGTGCTTATTCTACTGAGCCACCTCCCCAGACCCTATACTCAATTCTTTAGAAGTTAGCTAGACATCAATCACATTTTGGCAACTTAGAGAAAGGAAACTTACAAAAGTGGATTTCATCAATCAAGGTTAAGGACGAAACAGCTTTTTTAATGGAAATGGACTGTACATACAAAGTTTGCTTGGAATGACAAAAGCATAACAGCCCAATGGTGATTGTCATCTTGACATCAGACTGATGCAACTCAAAGAAGGGTCAGTGTTGCTGCTGTATTACAAGTCCTGTTGGAAGAGATGAATGATGCAATCTCTAGGGTAAAAATATGAGTCAACTGTGATTCACTAGTACAACCTTTGAGAATCATAAAGGAGAGTTCTTGAATACCGACTCATAGACTTTTTTTTTTTTTTTTGGCGTAACCGGGGATTGAACTCAGACCCTTGCACTTGCCAGCCAAGTGCTTATTCTACTGAGCCATCTTCCCGCACCTCCCCCCCATAGACTTAACATCTTAGCAAACTATGTTGTTGTATACTATCTGGATCATCATACCTGTGAATCTTAAGAATAAATGTAATAGAAATACTAATGCGACCATTTCCTAAGTGTGATAATGTCTCAAGCATCTTATGCAAGCAAGTCCAAATATTTTGTATCAGGGCTTTTGCTCCATAGTAGTTATTTCAGAAATACTTGTTGAAGCTAGGTGATGTGGTACACCTGTAATCCCAGGACTCAGGAGGCTGAGGTAGGAGGATTGCTGAATTCAAGACCACCCTGGGCTGAAGGCCAGCCTGAATTACATAGTAAGAACTTATCTCAAAGAAAGAAAAAAAAAATCCCCAAAACCAAAAAAATCCAAAACAAACCAACTTGCTGAATGTGAATTTTTTAATTTTTATTTATTTATTTGTGTGGTGTGTGTGTGTGTGTGTGTATGCGTGTGTGTGTGTGTGTCCAGCTCAGCCCACCAGGGGGCGGGGCTGGCTGGCATGTGGTGCTGGGGGATTGAACCGTGGTCCCTGTGCTTTTTTGCTAAACTTGTTCTAAGTAGGTGCTTTAGACCACTGAGCCATCTCACCAGCCC